AATTTACAACTTTAGGCTACTAAAAATTCATTAGTCGCCGAAAGTTTTCACATAAAAATGAATTCCGCTATTGGCAACTAAAAGTTTTAATCGCCAATAAATTTGTGTCACAAATAATAATACATTTAGTGACTAAACATTTTAGTCGCTAATAATAATATATTTAGCAACCAAACAGTTTAGTTCTCTTTAGTTTCCACGACTAAACATTTTAGCCGCCAAAAGACTGGATATTTTCATTATTTTAGTTGCTGAAGGATGCCGCGTTCTTTCATGACTAGAATATTTAGTCGGCAATAGTTTCTTTCCTCATTTTAATTTGTTTTGACTACTAACTATTTGGTCGCCAAAAATATTTTGTTTTTTTATTTTTTATTTTTTTACTACTAAATATTTAGTCACCAAAAACATTTGCTTGCATTTTTGGCTACCAACATATTTAGTCGCCAAAAACTTTACAATTTATTTCTTTTTTTAAATTAATTTCTCGGCCATCTGTATTTATTCCATTATTAGTGCAACATGTACCCTGTATATAAACAAAATAATCATTGAACACTAATTATATTAGGCACCATTCCACAACGCGCACACATTTCACTTTCAACTATCCAAAAAATTCATTTTTAACGTCAAATTCTAAATGTAATAGAAATTATGTACAAACCAAGTATAATCCAACCTCAAAAGTATAATTCCATACATAATAGAGGATTAACTAAATTTAATATTCAAAAGGTAATCTGTACCAAGCCAAAAGAGTAATTTGTACCACACCAAAAACTATTTTGTACCTCGTCCAAAGGTAATTTGTACCACACCAAATTTTAGATATATACCATGCTAAAAAAGAAATTTGTACGAACAATCCTAATCCTAAAAACAATGTCTTTTGTACTTGTAAAAAAAGTCATATCTACAACACCATGCCAAAAATCATCAGTAAAAATAAAATTAATCATTAGTATTAACTAAATATTGGCATATTTAAAATTATAAATAAACCATATAAAACTCAAATTTACTTAATCTTTTCAAATTAATCATTAGTTTTGCATACTCGAATATATATGAAAGAAAAATATGTAAAACTCGAACGCATATATTAGGCAACCAGCAATCTTTTACAAGTAATCATTGTCCATAATTAATAATTATTTCTCCATTTTTGGGCCTCGAACGCCCTTTTTTCGATTAAGTTTAAGACATTCTTGACCCTAACTCTCAACCTACGTGTCCTATTTACGTACCATCTGTCCTTACAGGTCATATTTGGTACGGAAAAGCTGCCGTTACATCCCAACAGTGGTTGGGAAGCCCCTCGAATGTTTTTTTTTTTAAATATGTTTTGGGGATTTTCGACTCTAATAAAATACTTACATGTCTTATTCATTAGGGGTGAACAGCAGATATACCGATCCACCCAAACTGACCGAACTGAACCGATCCGCTACATTTTGGATGGATGCATGATGACGAGCAGACAGTTGCGGATTGATTTTTTCCAATTCGCCTAGTTTTGGACGGATGGCGGATTTGAGATTTTTTTGGCCGCAACTGAACTGCCAAACCGCGAATACCCCTAATAATTTGTAAGACTTTGTGTTTTCAATTTATTTAGATATTCTGTTTGTATTTCAATTGAAAAAGAGTTTAAATATTATGTTGAATATATTCGGTTGAAAAAAAGTTTTCAACTTGAATATATTTTTTAAATTGAAAAAAAATAAATGTATTATTTATCTATATTTTTTTATTTTTAAATCTAACTCAAAAAATAATAAATTAAAAAAAATGATATATGCTGGTTAGTTTTTGTTTGCAAAAACAAATATAGATGTAGCAATACAGAGGCATACAATCTTTACTACTGCTCTGTTCATGGTTTTGGTGGTTTGAATTGTTTTTATATTTTAAGAACCACAGATTATAATACTTTATGTGGATGAGGCATGCAGTGATTGTAATACTTTTTTAAGTCATTGACTGTAATACTTTTTTTTTAATTTTTTTTCAGGAAGGGCACAAGTTGAATTATGTTGCAAGTTTATAAAATTTTAAACCGCCAAACTGATTTGCATCCATCTGTCAATCCGCCAATCCGCTCAATCCACATCCGCCAGATTGGAGGATGAATGCGGATTGATTTTCTCCAATCCGCCAATCTGGTAGACGGATGACGGATTGGCTCCGTGGCCGTAACCAACAAGCGCCCACCCCTACTATTCATTGTTAAAGCTAACAAATTTTAACAAAGTATATATGATATTAATAAAAAGAGATATAACAAGCTATGACATGATTTTGCTGAATTAATAAGTCAAGTATCTTGGTTCATTATCATATCCAAATCATAAAAGCAAATACATCAAGATTCGACATCAACATCTGTATCAAAATCACTTTGCAGGTCATATTCTTCTTCTGTGTCATCACCCTCCCTTATTAATCCATCTTCATCATCACAGATGAAGGCATCATCTATAACACCCTCGGCTTCTACACCTCTAAGAGATTGCAAAACTAACACACATGTAACGCCCCCAAATTAATTATACAATTCAACTCCAAACATCTAATACAAAGTGATATAAGTGAAATAAGAAGCTTTCATTAATTGGAATTAATATACAAAAGATGCCACATGCAGTGTATATTCATAAATAGTTCACCCTGAAAGTAATAATAAAGAATGAAAGCTAAACAGGTATTTATATGCTCTAAAGGCTTACATCTTTCCAAGGCTTCACTTGGTTACAAAAAAATGAGTCAGAAGGTCAATACACATAAAGTGCTAGGCTTGAAAAGAAAGTAAATACAAAATGAACAAAAATGAGCTTTAGCTGCACAGTCCTCCCAAGTTAAGTTCTTAGCGGAGGTATATCACCAGCACCTGAAAATGGTTTTTCCCAAGTAGGGTGAGCCAAAGCCCAGTAGAGACAATCTAACACAATATATGAATCTTAACAAAGATAAAAACATGAAGTGTATATACAATGCCTGTGACAAGTTCATTTACAAATCTTTCGCATGCCATGTCAAGTTTTACATCACAATCCATGTTATCTTAATCCCCTTTTTGATTCAATTCATTTTATCTCAATTCATGAGTTATCTCCATTTATTACAAACAACCAACTGAGGACACAACTCAAAAGTTCTCAAATCAATCTAGTCATCACACAAACACTTCTATTTGCCATTTTGTGAAAATTTCGTTCACAAAAATCGGCACTCATGTATACACAATGTTTTCGGGACTTCCACCCTGGATACATAGGCTAACTTCTTTCAATGGAGTCCATCCCATTTCTTCTCCCAAACATGGAGTGTATCCCCTTTCTCCGATCAAACATCATACATATACCATATATATAAATCATAATCATATTCAATGATAATGGCTAATTGATTAGTTTTAATTCGTCTAATCCTTATACAATTTCTACAACAATCATACATATCCTTCACCGATAGCCCAAAACAGATATCTATAAACAGATAGACAATCTCAAAGATAGAAAATTATCCAAATTTTCATAGGTGAGAGGTAATACATATCGAACTCTACCATTTATATAAGCATTCATCCAATTTCATGTTTCCAATGCCAATTTCATTATTTATGCAAAATAATTATTTAAGAAGTTTTAAGGTAAAACCTCATTTTCGTCCAAAATTCCTCTCAAGTACCAAAACCACTAAAATTCTCAGAACACACCCCATCTCTATTCCCATAATCATCATTTTGCATTTACATTACAAAACCCCTCTTTTGATTTTACAACCTAAACCCTATGTTTGCTCAACATCATTCCAAGTTTCAATATTTCTTACACAACAACAGATAACTAAATTAAAACTCATAGAAGAGTATAAAAAGTAACCTCAAGTCTAGAAGTCGAGAGAGAAAATGGAGACACTTCAAACATGTCGAAACCCAACTCTATTCGGATGAGAATGTAGCCCTCGAGATGCTTTATCTTTTTATCAAAGAGGGTAGGGTGGAGAAACCACTAAATCTAGGTAAAAAAGTAGAGAGAGTGTGAGTTTTAGAGAGAGGAGCTCTACATCTAGGGTTTTAAGGAAGAGAGTGATGAAAAAAGGTGCTGTTGCGAACTGATACACGTACAGTCCACTCGAGCGCAAGAAGTGACGCTCGAGCGTCAGACATAATAAGTTGTTCCGCTTGAGCGCAAGAAGTGACGCTCGAGCGTCAAGACACAAAACAAAAAGGCATTACCGCTCAAGCTCAAGAAATGACGCTCGAGCGCAGAATATATACATCCAGTAGTTTTGTAGACAATAAACCAACTCTCGAGCGCCAGAAGTGTCGCTTGAGCGTAAGAAATGCCGCTCGAGCGTAGAATACACCCTCCCAGTAGTTTTGCAGACCTATAAAAATGCTGAGAGTTTACAAAGCCCGCTCAAGCGCAAGAAGTGTCGCTCAAGCGGAGAAGCAAAATTCTAGGCAGCAAAAGTTTGAAAACTAAGCAACCAACCTATTCCAAATACAACCACTACAATCCAATCACCCAAATTTAAGGAGATACAATGGAAGCAAAAAGGTAAACAACAACATGAAACCATGAAACCCGAATCCGAGATACAATAAGGGTCGGGTCGAAATCAAAATCGCTATAACACAGTTTAAAGTAGCAACTGATCTCTTTAAGTTAACAAATTATCATAGATTTGTTAGAAAATGAAAAAAAGAGTGGGAAAAAAAGAAAAGAAAAAAGAACACCAAGTTCTTTAGCAATGGAGCTGCAGGTTTAATTAGGGATACTACTACCATACATGCCAATAAGTTACCACACCAAGTAATTTCTTACGTTCAAGAGGATGGACAACATTAGAGTAAGATTTTTACCTTTTTTTTTATTATTAACCACATAAAACACTAAACCTTTAGCAGTTTCAGATCTTACCTAACAGCTACAATAACTATAACGCCCCAAAATAATTATAATAAACTAACCATAATGATAATTAAATAATAACATAAATCAAAGTACGATATCCTTCAATTTCATGAAACTCAGTTGTACAAAAGAGGTGACACATGCGAATATACATTCATAAGTCCTAACCCTAAATCTATAGCATGTGACAACAACAAATTAAAATGTAGAAGGTAAACAGATAATAAAAATGCCCTGAAGGCTACAATTTTTCAAGGCAATGCTTGGTTACATCAAAAGTGAGTCTTAAGCTCAATACATATAATGTCGTAGGCTTGTACAAACATTAAACACAAAATAACAAAACTGAGCTTTCAACTCCACTGTCCTCCCAAGCTAAGTCCTTTGGTTGAGGCATCTCACCAACACCTGAAAATGGTTTTCCTATATAGGGTGAGCGAAAACCCAATAAAAATAATCCAACATAACATATGAATCTTAACAAATATATAAGGGTGAAATGCATCTGCAATGCTCATGACCAAAATGTTTTACAATTTCTTTCCAAAACAATGTTATGTCCAGTCTATATCAAAATTCTCAAAGTCATGCTCTTTACAATAGAAAACAAAGGGGAATTCTCAAACCAATACAACCTTTCACGAATGTTTCGCCTGCAAGAAACCGTCAAACGACACCCATATAAACGTAGTCTATACAAGCACTACTATTGCCATTTTACGAATATTTCGTCCGCGAAAATCGGCACCCATGTATACGCGCGTTTTTCGAGACTTTCACTCTGGACACACAGGCCAACTTAATTTCGTGATACACACATCTTTCCAACATTCACCCATTTTCTGAAATTCACATACATATGCAACGTATTAAATTAGTAACAATGTTCAATGCACAAATGAGAAATTAGTTTCAATTTACCTAATACTCATGTAATTTCTACAACAATCATCGTTATCCTCCACTGATAGCCCAAAATAAATATTTCTAGACAGATATATAAAATCTCCAATACAGATAAACTTTCCAAATTTCAAGGTGAGTGATAATACATTTCAAACTCCACCATCTATATCAATATCCATCCAATTTTACATTCCCAACATTAATTCCATTTATTTATACAAAATAAATATTTGAAACATTTAGGTCAAAACCCCTTTACTTCCAAAATCAAATCCAAGTATCAAAACCAATAATTTTATCACTACTCAACCTCATTTTCACTCCCATAGCCATTTTCCATACAACCATTTGAAAACTCCTATTTTGATTTTAAACCAAAACCCTAGGTTCGTTCAAAAACCTTCAAAACCACAAGTTTGTTTTATAAAAACAAATAGCTAAGTTAAAAATCATAAAAGAGTATAGAGAACCCTTACCTCCAAGCTAGAAGACCAAGGAGAGAATCGAGAAACCTCAAGGAAGTCGAAATCTAACTTTGCTCGGATGAAAACGAAGCTCTAAGTAAGCTCTACCTTTTTCTCAAAGGGAGTAGGGTGAAGAAATCAATGGATCCAAGTGTTTTAGAAGAGAAAATGTGAGTTTTAGATAGAGAGGGTCTCAACTTAGGGTTTTAGAAAGTTTAGAAAGAGATATATATATATATATACATATGAAAAAGTTATATAAAATGATCTTTTTACGAATTAATATGCACAGCTCGCTCAAGCGCAAGAGTTGGCGCTTGAGCGATCAGACACAATAAGTTGTTCTGCTCGAGTACAGAATACACACTCCCAAAAGTTTTACAGACAAAAGATAGTCACTTGAGCGCAAGAAGTCTCACTTGAGCGAAAAACACTACCTCCCCAATATCTTTGTAAGCCTGCAAAAGTACTGGGAGCTCATAAAGCTCGCTCGAGCACAAGAAGTTTTGCTCGAGCGAAGAGGCCAAATTTTGGACAACAACAGTTTGAACTGACTAGCAACCAACCAGTTTCAAACGCAACCAAGACACTCCAATACTCAAACTTAATGAGAAATAAGGAGAAACACGGTATGAATATCTAAATAAGACAAATGAAACCCGGATTCAAAACATCAACGAGTCGGGTCTAAACCAAGAACGCTATAACCTCTTCCCTTAAGGAATTTCATCCCCGAAATTTTAAATCAAACATTAAAATCATTTTTAAACCAATTACAACAATGATAATCAATCAATTCCAACATTATGACCCATCCTTCGGTCATTCATTCTTATCAACATGATAAACAAGTTTTCCATACTGAATATACAATTCACATTTTCAAAACATATACAATATTTATATTACATCAACATCATAAAAGTTTCAATACATGGTTAAACATTAACAAATAGATTCGGATACCTCTCACGGACTTCCAACTCACGTTTCCAAGTTACTTCCTCGACTCTGTGATGTCACCACAATACTTTTACCAAAAGAATTGTCTTGGCTCGCAAGACTTGGTCTCGAGTATCCAAGACTTTCACTGGTCTCTCCTCATATGAGGCATCATCATCTACCTCTAAGTCGATCCAATCCAATCCAACACGTGCGATGGATCTAACTCATACTTCTGAAGCATTCAAATATGAAACACATTATGGACCATGGAAAGCTGTGGTGGTAACGCCAAGCGATAAGTTACCTCTCCAATCTGCTCAAGGATCTCAAAAGGTCCAATAAATCTAGGAAATAACTTCCCACTCTTTTTAAATCTCATCAAACCCTGCCTAAGTGATAGCTTCAAGAAGATATGATCTCCTACCTCAAAAGACAAAGGTCTCCTCCTACGGTCTGCATAACTTTTTGGGCGACTCTGGACAGTAACCAACCTTTTACAAATAAGTGAAACTTTCTCCGTCGTTTCCTAGACTAACTCTAGATCCAACAAAGGTGCATCACCCACCTCGGCCCAACACACAGGGAATCTACACGGTCGGCCATACAAGGCCTCAAATGGTGCCATGCCAATACTCGACTGGAAGCTATTGTTATAGGCAAACTCTACTAAGGGCAAATGTCTCTCCCACGATCTCTTAAAGTTAAGAACACAACCCCAAAGCATATCCTCTAGAATCTGATTAGTGCGCTCTGACAGCCTGTTAGTCTGAGAATGATATGCGATGCTAAAAGTCAATCTCGTGCCCAAGGTCACCCATCTTACACCAAACAAGATCGGAGATGATGATGAAAATGAAGAAGAATAAGAGTCCCAGCTCTACATCAATGGCGATTGGGCCTTATCTTTTTTCAATCTTCTCAAGAATCTCTCAATTCTTTCTCTTCACCATGTTCATATTGATAGTAATATATATATAATCTGTGAGTTGTTGATTTGGGTGATTTGTATATATATCATCATCACTAGGTTCATGGTGATAATGATATATACGTATGTATATTCATTTTCATTTTCTAGATATATGTGTATGATGGAGAGGACAATGAGGGTTGTAGAAAGAAATGGAGAAAGAAGGGTCGAGTTGGGTTCCAACTTCTATGCTTTTTTTTATTGTATTTTATAAATATGTTCAATTTTCTCTGGTTTGGTGAAAACAAAGACAGAAAAAATTAGTCAAAAACAGAAAAATTTGTGAGCAAAATTTTAACCTAGAGAGCAAAATTTTAACCTAGAGAAATTCTCAAACACAGAGAAAATTAGAAAAATTGAGCAAACCGGAGAAATTTTGATTCAGAGAAATTTCAAAACATAGACAAATTTCTCTATGTTTTAAAATTTCTCTAAAAAAATGTTAAGAGACCTCAACCACTATGCAAATATTGTATGTTCTTTATCCTATAAACTTAATACCAAATGCCTTAAAAAAAAATTGCCCAAAAATAAAAATGTAAGCAAAAATGTTGTAGAGTTACATAATTAATTTTAATTATATTTGGATTTAAATTGAGTGTCGTCCTTATACATTACAACAAAATCAAACACATAAATTAAAATAATTGAAGAAAATAATATGATGAAAAATAAATGGGATTGAACAAAAATCTTCTTCAAACTCCTGGTCTCTTTGAAATCACTTTGAGTTCGAGGGGGGACCATTAGTAAATACAATAGTAAATATATCTTTTATATATATTATATAGTAACATGTATTATTTCCATAAAAGGATAAATAAGATAAATGGGGAAAAAAGCAAATTAAATAAAACTCTAATAATAGAAGAATTGAGAGTAAAATATTTCGTTTATTTTTTTAATAATTAGATTTGAAACATTTTAAATTAAAGTTTATCATATCTTTTTTAGTATATATGTATATCCATATCCTTTTTATTTCAAATTTTACCTTTTTTCATAAAAAAATAAATTTTTATTAGAAATTAAAAAAAATGAAAAGGAAGATTTATAAGACTACCAAGTAAGAAAGATAATAATAGAAGAATTGAGAATAAAATATTGCATTTATTTTTTTAATAATTAGATTTGAAATATTTTAAATTAGAATTTATTATATCTTTTTGAGTTCCATATGTACTAGTATAATACCTGTGCTATGCACGGGTTAAAATAAATAACTAAAATTATTTTTAAAATTAAATTATAACAAAAACTTTATTTAAAATATAAAATAAAATTTATTTAATATTAATTAGTTCCCATATAATAATTATATTTACGATAAAATATAAATATATTTCGTCTTGATGAATTTCGTAATTTTTGTTTTTCAATTTACCAATTATCTCATATCTGTTATGTAAAATCAATTACCTTATCAATAAATCAAAATTGAAGAATAAATAAAAAATAGAAAAAAATATAGAGTATCAGTAACCCTAATCTTCAACCCACTCCTCAAATAAGATTTTGATAATTTCGATCCTACTAGGTTGCTAATTATAACCTCTAAAACAGTCTTATTAAATATTAGTTAATTATATTTACTAATATTTTAAAGGTTAGACCAATTAAACATTTTGCAAACCCTATAGCCATTTTCTTAATTTGAACTCCATATAGATCATTTTTAATTTTTGATTTTTCATATTTTTTAATTGTTTTATATTAAAAAAATTTAGAACTAATATACTACACAAATAAATTAAACTGAATATATATATAAAACAATTTACTCTAGCCCATAGGCCTAGAGTATTTGAATGAAGATGTGCTAGACCATTTTAATAGCTAGTACCTAAATCTCAATATTTATTTAGTACGTAACTTGAGCAAAAATGATTACCTGACTTATAATTAGCATGGCTCAAATAAAAGGTAATGCATGTACTATATGTGAATTTATAATTTTTTTTTCTCATTTGTTAATAAATTTATGCATAATCCACATTTCAAATAAGAATTTTATAAATTTTTAAGAGTTAATCACAAACTTTAAAAAATAAAATAAAATAAAAATAAACATGATACATTATAAATATGTATGAAATAACTTTATTAATAAACCATTTTTATTAAAAAAATTCTATACTTAATCAAATAGTTCTTCTAGCATTTGAAAATTTAATATTTATGAGTAAATTTAATATTTTCAAATACTCCAAACATTTTTCATATTTAAAATTTATGAATAAATTTATGTAATTTTAAAATTTTATACTTTATTAAAACTTTTAGCATTACAAAATCAATAATTAAGTTTTATCAAATATGCTTTAAATCTAATCATCAATCCATTTTTTAAACAAAATTTTCTCATTCAAAATTTTACCAAATATTTATTTAAGAAAACTATCCACATATTAGTGCACCATGTTTACGATCATTATTAAGCTTATGTAACTTAAGCCCTAATCTAAATGCACCTTGTATTTTTTAAATTTTGTTTAATGTTTGGCATGACACATAAAATGGTTATAAATTATAAGTAAAATTTAAATTATTACCTTAAAATAAATTGTAAATTTATTTGGTGCAATATAGCTTTTGATAATCTATGTAACATTTTTATTGTGTAAATATACATAATGCCTCAAAAGTTATTACCAAGACGAAAGATATGAAACTCTTATATTCATATGTATTTAAGAATTTCAAATATTTCAAATAAGTTTTCAAAAAAGGAGTTACAAATTGTAATTTAAAAAACCTCTATATTTTAGCCAAATAAGCTATAAAAATATCAAATAAATTATAATTTAAAATTACAACCAAATAAACTATCACACAATAAAATGTAATATAATATAATATAAAAATATAATAAGTATAACATTATTTAAGAAAAAGTGCACCAACTATAAAATCTGAAAATTAAAAGCAAACCTTATAAAAATTTTGAAATATGAAATCATGGAAATTACAAAACATAAATGCATAAATAATATTATAACCATATGTATCACCCAAAAGAAGAAGAAACTTCCAATAAAAATTTGTTAATAGAAATGCAAATTTTCTCAATAGCCTTTATTATCCATATTTATGTACTTGATAAATATAGATTTTAAACCGTTGAACCTCGACCAAAGATATTGGAGATTTATTTTATAAAATACACTTAGATTAAATAAGCATGCAATAAATTTTTAGAAATTAACATAATTGTTAGATGCATAATAGAAATAAGGATGCAAAGGCTAAAGATTAGAAATTGATCTTTATAAAAAACCACAAACTTACAATGAAAAAATTTATCAATTGAATTCTTCACAACAACTCCATCACTAACAGTTACAACATTTGATGAACACCGACTCTAAGTTGACTTGATTCCAATAAGTGCAAGAGAGAAGATTTATGGGAAATGTGAATTACTTTTCACAATTTGTGATACACAATTTTAAATTTTTAAAATTGATTTAGTCTTCTTTCTTTTTAAAAGTCATAAATAAAGAGAAAATTAGGGGTTCGTTTGGTTTGTATTTGTGAAAAAATTTTGGGAAATTTTCTCTACAAATAAGTTTTTAAAAGTAATCAAACCAAACAAATTTTTCCAAAAAAATTTCTCAAAACTTGTAAACCAAACAAGTTTTCCAAACAAATCTCTCTCTCACACATATCAAATCAATCACTTTTTCCAAAACTCTCTCTCAAAATAATTTTCCAAAACATCTTTTGAAAAAAACCAAACCAAACAACTTTTCGTACTTTTTATCTCTAAAACACATCTCTCAAACACAAACCAAACATACCCTAGATTTTTTTAAATAATTATATGGCACACTTTTAAATTTTAAAATGGGTTAGTATACTTTCCTTCGAAATTTCATAAATCATTAGATAGCTATATATTTATTGTTGAGAAAGTGTTACCCAATAGATTTTTTTTTTAATTTTTTAATAATAAATAAAAATTAATTAAGAAACTTAGTACGTGCATTTGGAAATAAATAAATAAATAAATAATTTTAAAAGCTTACTATATTAAATTTTAAAAGGAGCATTATTATAAATTTTGAAAAAAATTTCTATATTAGTTATAGCATAGATAATGTGACCATTTGAAAGGTTTTATAAATTTTAGATTCTGTTGAATTGTTTATCATATTTAATGACGGATAATTTTAAATTTTAAAATAGAAAATTATATATATATTTAAAAATCATAAATTATGAAATAATTATAATTTTTTTTATGATTATAGTTGGATTTTAGTAAATTGCTTCCATACTACTGGCGCACAAATTTAAATTTTAAAATAATTAAGCATACTTTCCTATTAGAAGTCGTAATTTATGAAATAATTAGAGTTAACCAATAATTTTTTTTTTAAAATAAAAAAACAATTAGATTTTAGTGAATTGCTTTCATATATAATAGCGCACACATTTAAATTTTCAAATAGTTGAACATACTTTCCTTTTAAAAATCGTAATTTATGAAATAATTAAAGTTTCATTGTTATGATTAAATAAGAGTTCAACCAATAAAATGTTTTATTATTTAAAAATCAAAAAATTATAAAATTTAGTTTGAGGGTTCAAAATTCTCACAAGCCTTGTCTTTAGAAAGACCATTTTCTTTATATATATATATATAGATATCCATATCTTTTTTTATTTCAAATTTTACTTTTTTTTTCATAAAAAATAATTTTTTTTTAGAAATTAGGAAAAATGGAAAAGAAGATTTCTAAGACTGTCAAATAATAATAGAAGAATTTAGAGTGAAACATTTCATTTATTTTTTTAATAATTAAATTTGAAACTAGTATTTATTATATCTTTTTAAGTTCTATATGTATATCCATATTTCAAATTTTACTTTTTTTTTCAAAAAAAAAAATAATTTTATTAGAAATTAGGAAAAATGGAAGGGAATATTTATAAGGCTGCCAAGTAGGAAAGATAATCTCAACTTTGAGAGAGTTTAGAAACATCGAAAACTATACTACATTTGTAAATATATATAGTACAGATTTTCTTTCATTCTATTAAAACTACATTCCTTATATTATATAAAGATATACAATATTATTAAATATTCAAAATAAAAATACACTAATATTAAATATGATATTTTCCTTTTTTGTTGACTCATCTTCATTGCCTATATATACATATTGCAATAGCTAATTCGTATATATAAGCAGCCCCTTTCTCATACAACAAAGAGAGACAAAACAATGGCAACAGGATTCAAGGTTTTCATCTCCCGTATCATATCATCCTTCCAATTCTACCGCTCCAAAAACCCTTCCAACTTCTTAGAAAATCCTGTCTCTTCATTCCTCCAACTCTCCCCAAACCCTGTCTTCATTGATTGCCCGCCGACGACCCCACCCTTTTCAAACCCCACTACTCCTCCTTCAAGCACCACGTGTCCTCCATCTTCTCATCCGTCAACTGTGGGTTCAGAGCTCGGCACACAGTACACCTCTGAAGACGACCTCACTGAATCACTAGAATTCAAGTGGGGCGAGACGCCGCATCGCGAAATCTACAACACCTCCATCTCCGGCGATTCCGACAACAACCTCTTCCTTCCTCCGCCGCACATGGCGGCAAAGAAAAAACAATACGACGACACGACACCGTATCATCACTTCCTCGACCGACAGTGAGTTGTTTGGTGACGAGAGAGACGGGGAAGAAGAAGGGATCGTAACGCTAGTTTCATTTTCACGAAATCACAAGAAGAGGATGAAGGGAGCGAAATGCAATGTTTCGAAAGAAGGAAAGGTGTGGTCACCGAAGATTGAGTCGCCGGTGAGGTTGTCGGGGTTCAAGAAGCTGATACCATCGTTTGAGGCGAAGGGGAAAGTGAAGGAGAGCTTCGCAGCGGTGAAGAAATCGAAGGACCCATATGAGGATTTCAAGAGATCGATAATGGAGATGATATTAGAGAAGCAAATGTTTGAGGTGAGAGATTGGGAGCAGCTGTTGGTGTGTTTTTTCTCGCTGAATTCGCATCATCGTTACAGGATTATTGTAGAGGCTTTTACTGACATTTGGGAGACATTGTTTTTTAATACTAGTTGAATTTCCGCTCATCATCATTGAGTTTCTTTCAATGTTCTTTGAAGTTTTTGATAATTGTTAAAAGAAAAGATTAAAAAACAAATTTACTAGCTTTGTGTTATTAATTATTAGAATCTATGATTACTAATGTGCTGATGGGAATGAATTTGGTCATGCATGCTCTCTTTTCCTTTTGTTTGTTTGCTTTTTCTTTTTTTTTTTTTCTTGTTTTTTGTGATCTAAAATATTTGACTTAAAAATTGGTCTCTTTTTATTTGTAGTGGGATTTAGGAATTTAATATAATAGACTTGAAATTTTAAATGTTCAATACAAAATCCCACTACAAACAAAAGAAAACCCATTTTTAAGTCAAATATTTTAGATCACAAAAAACAAGAAAGAAACAAAAAGCAAAAAATAGAAAAAGGGCACATGCATGACCAAATTCATCACCATCAACACATTAGTAATCACAGATTCTAATAATTAATAACACAAAAGCCAGTAAATTTATTTTTTAATCTTTCATTTTAACAATTATCAAGAGCTTCAAAGAACATTGAAAGAAACTCGATGATGATGAGTGGAAATTCAACTAGTACTACAAAACAATGTCTCTCAAATGTTAGTAAAGGGCTGGTAATGACTACGCGAATTCAGCGAGAAAAAACACTCCAACAGCTCCAAATCTCTCGCCTCAAACATTTGCTTCTCTAATATCATCTCCATCATTGATCTCTTGAAATTCTCATAAGGGTCCTCTGATTTCTTCACCATCGCGAAGCTCTTCTTCACTTTTCCCTCCGCCGCAAACAACGGCATCAACTTCTTCAACCCTGACAACCTCCCTAGTGACTCAATCTCCGGCGACCACACATTTCCTCCTTTCGAAATGTTGCATTTCGCTCGCTTCATTCTCTTCTTGTGATTTCGTGAATACGAAACTAGCGTTACGATCCCTTCTTCCTCGTCTCTCTCGTCGCCAAACCTCCTACTTTCGGTCGAGGAAGTGCTGATACGATGCCGTGTCATCGCTTTTTTTTTTTTTTGCTCTGTCATTTCTTCTTTGCCGCCGTGTGCAGCGGAGGAGGAAGAAGAGGGAAGAGGTCGTTGTCGGAATCACCAGAGATGGAGGAGTTGTAGATTTCGCGACACGGCGTCTTGTCCCACTTGAATTCCGATGATTCGGTGAGGTCATCTTCAAAGATGTACTGTGTACCGAACCCACAGCCGACGGATGAAAAGATGGACACGTGGTGCTTGAAGGAGGAGTGGTGGGATTTTAAAGGGGGTGGGGTCACTGACAGGTAGTCAATGAAGACGGAGTTTGGAGAGAGTTGAAGGAATGAAGGGACAGGATTTTCTGGGAAGTTGGAAGGGTTTTTAGAGTGGCAGAATTGGAAGGATGAGAAAATTCGAGAGATCAAAACCTTGAATCCTTTTGACATTGTTTTGTCTCTCTTCGTTGTATGAGAAAGTGGTTACTTATATGTACGGATTAGCTATTACAATATATATACATAGGCAATGAAGATGAGTCAACAAGAAAGGAAAATATCATATTAAATATTTAATATTATTGTGTATTTTTATTTTAAATATTTAATATTATTGTATATCTTTATATAATATAAAGAATGTAGTTTTCAATAAAATGAAAGAAAACCTATACTATATACTATATATATATATATATACGACCGTGCTAGGGAGCTCGAAAACGAGCTCCCCCGAATCCCCCTAATCTTGATTTTTTTTTTCAGAAGCAGAAAAAGAGAAGAGAAGGGAGAAGGAGGAAGGAGAAAGGAGGAGGAGGAGGAAGAGAAGTGGACTGGAGGGGGCCATAACAGTGGGAGGAGGCGGAGGCGGGGCCGGAGGCGACGGCAGAGCTGCTGCAACGATCGGAGCTGGGCGACGGGCTGGGCGATCGGCGGCGACGTGCTGGGCGATGATCTCTTCTCTCTTCCCCTCTTCTTCTCTCTTTCTCTCCCTCTTCCTCCGAGCTGTTGCAAAGTCGAACATGGAAGAAGAAAAAAAAAAAAAAAAAAATCCCCAAAACGACGTCGTTTTGGGGATTAGGGGGATTAGGGAGAGCCAAATTCGAGCTCTCAAACATTATTCATATATATACAGATGTAGTATAGTTTTCGATGTTTCTAAATTCTCAAACTTGGTCTCTCATTCAAAGTTGAGATTATCTTACCTAGCAGCCTTATAAATATTCCTTTTCATTTTCCCTAATTTCTATTGTAAATTATTTTTTTATGAAAAAAAGTAAAATTTACAAGAAAAAAGATATGGATATACATATAGAACTCAAAAAGATATGATAAATTCTAATTTCAAATATTTTAAATCTAATTATTAAAAAAATAAATGAAATATTTTGGTTGATATAACGTTGGCCAGTCTTCCTCTACTTAAGTTCATTCACAAAGTTTTTTTAGGGATTTTAACACTTTTGTTTCCTGCTGTGTGTGAAAGCCTACAAAAAGGTTTATCAGACAAGGTCTAAAAGTCAGTTCAAAGTCGCTTTGCTTCCCTTTCTCTCTGCGGGAAGTGAGAGCATTAAAAGCACAAATATCAGTCTCTTGAGAATGGGGACACAGAAAATGTTACAGTATCAGGACTCATTAGGCATTGCCCATTGTTGATGAGAGGCTGATTCCAACGCTAATTTTGCTTCCTACTCGGTGGCCTCATCCCCAAACCAACGAAAAAGTCATACCTTCCCTCACAGCAAATCCATACATATATCCATTCATGTGTATATATTCATATTTTGTGGGGTAGTGAATTAAATTTAAGCCCTTGACTATTCATTGTATTTGAAGTCCGTACGTTAATCACATTTTCATTGCTTCACTTCACCCATTCTTGATCAATTTTTGAATCAATCGTTACGGACAATGAGCCCAAATGTTGCAGGACAGAAGGCCACATGGCCCCATTTGTTTGGGCTTATAGAAAAGGGATTGAGATTGATACTAAGGTGAGACCCACTATATGAGATGTTTGTTTTGAGAGATGGAAAGAAGACTCATATAGTATTAGGACAGGCCTTGAAAGGGGAATTGAGATGGAAAAGGTAGAAGTGGTGTTAGAAAAATAGTCCTAAGGACTAAATTTTTTTTCTTTTTTTATAATTTTTTACATGTTGGGCATATTTTTATTTTTTTTTTGAACATTAATGTCTGATGTTTAATGTTTTTGCATTTTTTTATTTTTTTAATTATTTTACATAAAAATAATTTAACAATCCCTACACTAACAACTATCATCAAAACAAACATAATTTTACTTAATCCCCTCACTATCAATCCCCTTACTATGAATCCCTTCCATTCTATTTCTGAAAACAAACGGGGTTGATAATTGAAATGGTTGCTGAAAAGAAAACCAGGAAAGGAAAGAGAAACCTATGATGTATTTGTTAACAACTCACTACAGATTTATCTATTTAAACAAATAAATTCTATTTACAGTCGAAAAATATCAGTCCATCCCTCTATTCAAACCAGGGGTTTTAAATACCGGCAGTTATGTATTGTATGGGCCATTAAGTAACAGGATTTTGAACTTCTGATACCATTATTTACTAATATATCGACAACTACTGTCCAATTTCGACCACTACGCCGATGTTTATACATTCCCTATGCTCTTGTTTAAATCTATGCTCCTGACCCTACATGCTAATAACCAAAACCCACCACAATTCCATTTATCCTGCGGAACTATTAAATTTATAGGTTACTTTTTAACCTGTAAAAGTACAATAGAAAATCATGTGCCACATAAATAAGGAAATTGATTGACCACAAACAAAAAGAACAGAAGGAAGTAGACTTACTGGGAAGGTTTCTTAGTACAAGTACACTTTTAGATTGTCAGCTTTCACTGATTAGAGTGTTTAGTCGATCAACTGCAGACTGTATTTTGTGCCTTTCTTCAAGGACCATGTTGCCTTCCTCAGATGACTGCATTATGATCATATGGAAGAGAATTAACTTACATGTGCATGGAAACACAACTGATGACTGGTTGCTAAAAGCATAAAAATGGTGTTGGGCTATTTAGTCACTAGCTGTTCAAAGATAGAACTGATGTGCTGCAACAGTGCAAAAATCAGATTTAATTTAGTAAGAAAAGAAAATAACTCCAATAATTGTAGGCTGTGTGAGCATGTTAATTAACCAAACAGTGTAACATTTTAAGTACTTACCCTAAGAATGAAGCTCCTTTGGGAAATCTATGTTTTGGACATGCTCAGGAACTACTGCTTTTGTTAGAGAATGAAATTTAGCAGAGGGAGGAAACTGACAAACAAGGAAGTAGTGATTACATCACGTAGTGACTACCCTTGTAAATATACTGACAATCATGCTCCACTAAAATCTCAATAACCTTTATTTTCTAATTCCTTAAAAGTTCAACTCAACTGGACAAAACTTGATCCCTGTTTACTAGGGTAGGAAACATAAAATTGTCTCCTCTAATTGGATCCGTACATAGCCATAAACTCAAGTAAGTTCAAGGGTCTGTGTCCTTTATCTTGACATCAATCCATGCCTCATTTGGCCTACTTCCTTCTAAACTTTCAATTTAGATAAAATTACTCTTTTGTGACTTTGCGCCAGTTGGGCTTCTTGCACACAATAATACCATCTTCATCGGCTTTACCTAAATTGATATTCAACTGGTGCCAGTTTTAACTTCCTACAGATGCATTCACTTCTTATTCTATCATCTCTTTTAACACCTTTGACTCATCTTACCATCTTCATTTCAACAATTACTCAATTTTTCAAACATATTTCTTAACTATCCAACTTATATACAAGAAGCACAGACACAACCCAACATGATAATTTTCAAAAAATGCAAGACACAAAACGTGAGGGATATGCACAAAATATATGATTTTATATATTTATTACATGTCATATATAAAAATATATCATCCAAATATAATAAAAATGCAAAATAATACTAATTTATTATAAATCTACATTTTTTTTGGAACAAACATTACTGTTTTTCTTTTATCATTATATCTTAAATTAATTTGCTCAAATTTATAATTAGTTTAATGTGTTTTAAGCGAGAGCATGTTTCCCCCAAGTGTCCAAAGTGTGTTTGGGACTACAAAAATTAAAATAATTAAATAAAAATTAATATAACACATTTGGACAAGTTTCTGTCAGGAAGTGTTTAAGCGAGAGCATGTTTCCCCCAAGTGTCCGAAGTGTGTTTGGGTCTACAAAAATTAAAATAATTAAATAAAAATTAATATAACATGTTTGGACAAGTGTCTGTCAGGAAGTGTCCAATGACTGAGTGTCCAACATGGATCCAATACAATAACACATGAACATGCTAGTCCATGCTTCTTAACTTATATCATATTAAGCAGTCATTTGATTTCATTGTAGCTAATAAATATACATTTTTATCATCAACAAGGCATGCTGCTGTCACTACATAAGGGTCTACAAGCATAGAAATAGGAAACATTAAATGAATTCTGGAAACAAACCTTCCAATCTTGCATTATTATATTATAGATAAAGTTCTAGACTATATAATTTTATTGTCCTTGAAATAGAAACATATACACAAAGCTCAGTTCACTATAAAAAACAAAATGATCAAATTTTGGATAATGTTTTATTGCCTTAAAATGAAAGATAAACTTTAAAGGTAAATAGGACGACAATGATGTCTCTTGCTTTAGGTGCAAAATCATACCTGTACCACGAGTATACTCTGTAAAATGAAGTCAATATCTGTCTTGCATGATGAAAGAATTTTCCAGACTTTAACATCCTTATGCATCAGTAGGACAACAGAAACAATTGCAGTTATCCTACTCTTTTCAGTTACCAAAGATCCCATCTTCCTTAAAACAAGATTGAGTAGTTTGTTGCTCCTATAAAACAAGATATAGCAAGGCAGGAAATAATAATGTCTTGTGCTTCTAAGGACTGGGATGCGGGATTCATCATCATCTTCTGGAAAGCACTGCATCAGAAGTAGAAAGATTCAATATTAAGTGGGTATTGTGACAAAAAGTAGAGGCCAAAGAAGTAGCATGATAAAACAATAAAACATCTCCCGAAGATATACATGCCCATAGCTTTTGCTTGGGCCCATGGAGCACCAAGGACCTAATTAGAAAATAAACTACAAAAACTAACCATGATCTTTTTTTTTGGTTGCAAAGTTTCAATCAAAAATATGCGGGAACAATTCAAAAAAACCAACCACCAAAAAAATGTGGAAAATATTTTGAGGATTCTTTACATCTGGAAAACCAATGCCAGTAATTGATGGATGACAAATAAATATTATACTAGCATATGTTGGTCCAGGGGCATGGAGGAGGCTTGGTAACCAAAAAATGGTTGTTAGCTCTAGGACATAAGGTCACCACCACTTTTTTCAGAGTAAGACCGGTTAAACAAAATGCCTTGGCAACATGGCTCTATATGGAGTTTTCTCGATTGAGCCAGTTTTTGTGTTCTACGTGCTACAATGTTGAATAATTTGTAACATACTCACAGGTTAAAGCTTGAATGACCTTCAACAAGGGTTGTATCCAAAACCAACGTAGAAATTAGAGAACATATACGATGAGAAACTTCTATGGAACTTTGCAAAATAGACAGTCAGTCACTTTTTGATCAACAAAAGCAGTGTCTCTTGATAGCATATGCAACAGTGACTAGGCCCAGATGATCATTTACGAAACCTCTAGTCTCCATATAGTCTTTGTACACATTTTCTCAAAGTTAAGGAATTTAGTTCTTGCAATCTGTCCCACCAAATGGTGGCTATAGCTATAGGAAGACTTGGTGACATAGACGGGTCAGTGAATAATGGCCTTGTTGCTCTGATGGAGAGAGGAATCTATGATTCACTTTTTGGGAAATTGTAACAAATAATTTCAATAAAATATTTCAATTTCTTAATTTACTATGTTCAATTCAATTCTATGTATACTTCTATCCATATCATAATTGAATGTACATAAATGGCTGTACTGGTGCTCTTATTTGAAATAACAACTATTCTACGACGTTTTAAGTGGTAGTGCTCTTATTTGAAATAACAACTATTCTACGACGTTTTAAGTGGTGCTAATGATTTAACGTTTATCTTCCTAGAGTTTCAAGGACTGCTACTACTTGTTAAATTAGGCTTGGGATGAACAGAGAAAAGGTAATCTGGAGGTAAAATTATTTTCTGGTTTTTTCTTTTTTCCACCCTTGGGTGGAGAGAAGGAACCATTCTAAATTGCTAGAATCTTAAATAATAAAGGTGTTCATGAAAACCAACACTGCCAGCTAAATTAGACAGAATTAGTAATTTGATATGATGAGACAATCCACAATGCTCATTGTAATCTTTATAAATTGATTGCAACAAAAGTTCAAGGAGAATAATTACTTACAGACACAACATCAATTAAGTATCCTGGAAGGAAATTGCTTAGATTGATAATACTCTGTTGAGAAAATCTCGTGGGTCTAGCGTCAAGCGCGACAAGCATCCTGAGCAGAGCACATAAATTGTCTAAAGCTGGGTTCAGTATCTGAAATAAATAAATAAAAAAAGGGGATGGGGCTACAGTAAGAAGTTTATTTTTGCAGACACATCAACAGTAACAGAAATAAATAATAATAATAATCAATGGAATCAGCGAAATGAGGAAGAAATAATACAATATAGAGTCTAAAAATGTAGTAAACAACAGATAATGAGACGAGGGTGATTGAGTCAACTCACTATCTGGTCAAGAACTACTTTCTCTAGTATCTGGAAAAGAAGATAATAATCACCCATCTGTAACAAACAAGAGCAGACGGCACGAGTGATTGACTTAAAAATTCCATAATTTGAGATCTCATCATTCTCCAACATAGGACAACTCTTTTCTGCATAACACAAGCCACGCGTCATACTAAATATAACCAACTCATTAATTGAAGATCTATTTCAGAAGCAAAAAAATTCTCTCTTAAAAGAAATTATAAATAGTGATATTGGTAGATGGAGAAACAGGAAAGCATATTTTTCTTCTCCTGATAGAGAAGACAGTCATGAAGTTTCAACCACATTAGACATACAATAACTTTGCTTATAACCATAGACAACTGACAGAAAATCTTGTTTGCGTGGAGGAGCTCAATATTTATAAGCAAACTCAAGGTCGAGTTCATTTTCTCTGTCGGTTTAGCACTTACTATTTATTGTATTTTTAATTAGAGGTTAATTAAAAGTTTTTTAATTTATTTCCTTTTTCTTAGGGATTCTAGTTTCCTGTTTTTATTAGGGTTTCAAGCTTATAAATATTAAGTTTTTTGACATTGTATTTTTCAACTTTGGAATAATATTGAGTGTTTAATGCTTTGGCCGTTGTATGAGGGTTGTGGCCCTTCAGCTCTTCCCCTTTCTCTTCTTGTTTTCCCTATGATGTGTACATCACACGATATGAACTTTATTGGTTTTGTGTTCTTTGGTGTGTTAACACTGAAGATTCTATTTAGAACACAGAATGCCTCAGGGAGAGATGGATGAACCTCAGTATTAAACAAAATAAGAGCAAACAACTAGGGCCTTCTTATTTAGGAATTTTGAAGCTCCATTTAAAGATAAATTAAGTGAAGAAAATTGGAGAGAAAGGAGAAAAAACGAGTTTAAAAATCATAACATTAGAGTCACCAGGCTTCATCACAGGAAAACAATCTCATATTCTTCAAGGTGTTATCACTTAGAAATACAAGGAAATAAGTTATGTGTCGAAATGGGAAAGATAAAAGTTTATGATATAACTAGAGATTTTGTGAAGACTCCACAGGAACATGGAATTAAAATTTTAAGAAAAAATCTAGAGCACAAAATTAGCAATCTCTGCTTATATGGTGGAGATTGTTGATATATGGTGCCATCTAAAAGTTGTAAGTAATAAAGAGCTTGAGACGAATGATTACTCATCAGAAAATATAAACATCCCACCAAGAGATTACCCTCATCCAAAACTACTGCTTCTGTCACAAAATTACCAAATTACCATTTAGTAACAACACAAAACTGGCAAGGGAACAATGCCTTCTACCAACAGAAAATTTTATCAAATTGAATTCATGCTTACAGCAGGCAACAGAACCCATATATCAGAGATATCGCTGAAAAAATAACTGGGTGACAAGTAAATGTATCCAACTTACCAGCATAAACTTTGAAGCATGAGAGTAAGGTGACAAAGAAACTAATGTGGTCAGCAATTTGAATATGTCCAGCTTTATAGGACGAATGCAGAACCTCTATGATTCGAAATATTATAATTGGTTCCAAACCATCATCTGGAATAAATTGGGAAGTAAGATGATTAGACAAAGAATAAATAAATAAACACGCTCAACAGAAAAACAATGACATAGTTTTAGCCATCTTAAAGTGCCAATTTTTTAAGTTGCATTGCTATCAACAATAAATATATTCCCTAACTTGGATTTTGCCTCACGAACATCAATTTATTAAATAAAAGCGCATAACCTTGCTAGTACAGTATAACACATTTAGTATTCACCTGTTTTTCAGCTTACTCCATGGGCACATTTACCCTTAAAATGAGAGAAACACTTTTCAGTTGTAAATGCGGTGTTTTAGTGCTACACAAACCTTTCAATAAATGGGTTGTTGATGTATTTAAAAAATAAAGCCACTTGCAGTTAAAATAATGGAAATAAAAACATGTACAGCATAAGTTGACACATATACAGGATGAGTCTAAGCCATTATTTGCTGTCAGTACTGAAACCACGCATCATACACCCAGCATCAAAATGACAGAAATGGAACAACATTAACTTGTCAATGGATCTAAGATTATCCATAATGAAATTTGTCATGGTGTTTGAAACAACAGATGTACTCACATAAGCAGCACCAAGCTAATGACTTGAGCAGAAGGGAGTCCACATGAGAGAAATAATAAAGACAACAGATAGAAAACTCCTGAGCATCTCTATTGAGTTTAACAAAAGGACCATAAGATATATTTCCTGCAACACCACAAGTCACCAAGAAGTTAACTAAAAGTTCTCTAATCTGCATATACAAGTATATTTGGCCAATATAAAATTTTCAGACTTAATTCTTACTTTCACCCATGCAATTACAGTAAAATTCTGCCAATGAGTCCTGCATGTTGTCATACTCCTGTGCAAAGAAAGTGTTTGCAACAGCACATTGTCCCAGCCGAAGTAGAAGACTCAGTACACTCTGCAACAAGCATTGCAATCACTCAGGGAAAAAATACCCATGTGGCAATTGGATATGAAAACTAGTATCTAGGAAGCTAAGATTCTAATGTCATCATCTCCAATTTCTAGAGAAGATTTTAAACAAGCACTTGTTAGATAAAGTAAATGCATACCCTGGAACGTAATGGGTGTTTATCATCTAACATGATTAGCAGCAGAGGAAGCTCTCTCATCCAAGTAATCTGATAGTCTAACAATTCTGGATCACTTGCATCTAGCTGCTTCAAGCCTTGTCTCTGTGATTTGCATCAAAAAATTGGATTTTGGAGTTGAAAGTAGGAAAGAACAAAGAAGAAGGAAAAAAAAATTACTGTCTACATGAGAACAGCCAAATGAGTTTGTCTTGTCCACCAAAGAATGTCAAAAGAAATCAACATAGATACAAAGACACAGACTTGTGATGTTTGTATGCAAACAGCCAAAGGCTTTACAAGAATGTAAAACGTGGATAACTGTAGACAATACCATAAAATATCAAATATCAAATATCAAATTACAAGTATAGAGCGCATTGTAGAACTATAAAACCAAGAGCTTACCGGAACCAGCATTTCTTCAATTGCAGAAAGGCAAGCCCATTTCAGTGAAGACTCTAGATTGCAACTTTTGAAAGTCTCTGTAAAAGCCTGCAATTGAAGTACCAACCATTCAAAATTACAATTATAAAATTCATAATTTTTTCAGGAACTCCAACATCTTAGAGAAAAGATCTAGAAGTACAGGATCACCGAAGTTCTTAAACAGATGCCATCATCAAAAGAAAAGTAAAAAATTTGAGATGAGAAATGGCTAAGAATAGCCCCTAGTACCAACTTATTTGAGGAAAAAATAATGCAAACCTGTAGAATACGAGACTTCCAAAAACCCGCTACTTGGAATACAAGTTTCGGAATAAAAGGAATTAGTGAAAGTATGTGCTTTTCATGGAATGCTTTACCAGACTGTGTGCCACTGCATATCTGCAATTAACAAATACCAAGTTACCTTGAATTACTGAAAGAAAAAATCATCCCAAAAATCTCTGAAGTATAGAGACCAAATGCCAGAAAGGCAAAAAGAAGAGTAAGATTTAAAGCCTTGAATTAGTAGCACCCACTCCACATCCACCTCAAAACATATGATATAAATTGACAGATCATATTAGATTTAGGCTGGCCTCGATCTGGGAACCAATCATTCAACAAGCACCCTCTCTATTGAGACCAGCTTGCATTAAGATGGTTAATAGGTGGTTCAGTGTTGAGCAATCAGACTACGTAAGATTATGGCATGGAGTCTCTGATCATTAGATTGCGATAAGGACACGAGCATATAGGTAATTTCATATGAGACATTTGTGACATTGCACAAGAAAATTTTGGTTTAATTTTGACTATTGTATATGTTGTCTTTAAGTTAGAAAGTGTTTGGGATAATCTAATTAAGTATACTTATTGACTTTTTACGAAAAAACATGAAATATGGGTTGGATTTGAAGTGATGTGGTAGAGAGGTGATGTGACCCAAATAGGATAATATGCTAAAATAGCATGTGCTATTTTAGCACATGCCAAACACTCCCTTAGTCTCATTACTTAAGTTAGTTCACAATTAGGGTGTTACCGTATTTTCAAATCATGGGCTTAGCTGATTAGGTGGTTTTAATGACCAATATTTCTTGTTAGTGGTTGCTTGGTTGGGAAGTGTATTTGCTTTTAGTTTAGTATCATTAAAGTTAGTTAGCATATTTTTGCTAATATTTTTTATACGCATAGGCCAAAATCCGGACTACACCCTTGTGGTTTGGCCATGGGGCACTTTACCTCCCCAATTTTTAAATATATGCAAATTCATCCTCACATGGTTTAGGGCTAAAGTGTTACCATTACAAATTCCATCCAAATTAACAATAATTGTGACATGAGCCTAATTTGAGAAGGCACAGATCTCTGTTTGTGTGTTGCCCAAGAACCCTACATTTCATGTTCATAACGTGAAGTTTGAAATTTAGTTGTAAATAATTTGCTCTCTCATACCACTTCACCAAAACATTTCTTCATCATCGTTGTTCATTTGAGGTATGTTGACATAACCAATTTAATTATATTGGTTGGTAACCTATGGAGCATGGGTACTTTGAAAAACAAGTTGTATCCGTACCGGGTACTTACCAACGTATAGTACTTCGTATGGTACTTCTGCATACGTACCGAATACACGAAACATGTACTCAAATTTTTTCTTCTTAATTTTTGACGTACTCAAACGTACCTAGTATATATACAAGCCAGACCATGCCTCAATCGAAACAATATTTTCTTCTATTGCAAAGATAAAATTCATTTCACTAGACTTCTTTCTTATTTTTAATTTTATACTTAGCATGATTTTAAAATTAAGCTATGGTTATAAGTTATTTAGTATAATGGCATTTAATTTTGGTTTATACCTTTACTTTTGGCATTAAATGTTAATTGTAAGTTGAACCTTAACAAATTAAACCATTTAATCAATTTTTTCAAGACTCCAAATCAAAAATAAATATTTTTTTACAAATGTACCAAGCCGTATGTATACCCTATTTTTTTGAGATTTTACTGTATTGATGTACCCGTATCATACCGGTACTCGTACCCGTGCTTCATAGCTGGTAACATTCAGTTCAATTTTTCTGAAAAATTCCATTGTTGGTTGAATAATTGGCTGATGTGAAATTGGTTGGAAATTTCCATAGTTCACTGGAAAAATTCAAGACGCTTGCTAAACTAATTGGAATGGAGTCTAGAGCAATGTTTATTAATTTGATGAGCAATGTTTACCTTGCCCTGTATATTCAATGGACGATGTTGTTAAGGTGGTTCAATCTGCTGGTGGTGGTGGTGGTGGTGGTGATTGTGACCCAGTGGAGAGGAAGACGCTGTTACAGTGAAGAGGGTATATTACTTATTACCAGGTAACCAACTTTTATTAGCTGCTAGAGAATAGTTTTCTCAATGCGTGGCAATACACAGAAGTGTCACAAAAACAAAAAGTCTCGGCTTGAAATTCCAAGATCACAAAGCCTCTAGCGCAGTTAGCGACATCTCCATGTTCTCAAATTACAGCAAAACAATGACAACTAACATGCAAATGCTCTTTCCACATAGTTGGTTCCAGAGTCTTGAAATAAATAATGAGTATAGTAATAACTCATCTACCTGTTTCACTCAACTCCCAATCTTAAATTCATGTGTTGCCGATAAAGGCTTGACAGATTCTACAGAAAAAACCTTCAAAGAACATGAAATTCAATAGTTCAAGTACCATACCTCTTCAGAGAGAGCACATGCAACGAATTCAAGAAATTTTTCAGACAGAGCAGCAGGACATTGCCAGTCAGTTGTGTGTAAAAAGATTTCTGTAATTATAATATTGACGGCGAAATATTTATCATCATCCTGTTTCAGAAAATAGAAAGAAAAAAAATTTTAATCCATGCTACAATGACAGGGAGTGCAGTTAGAAGAGTTTCTATTGCAAAAATACTAGAGATCCCTAATGAACTACACACTAACTTACCAACTACTCACAATGAGGTGAGGTGTGGACCCCACACGTCATTGTCATCATTGTGAGTAGTTGGATTATGTATAATCTATGAAGCACATTGTCATCATTGTGAGTAGTTGGATTATGTATAATCTATGAAGCACAGACACCTCTCCTCTCCAAAGATCACGTACTAGTGTCCAAAACACATGTCAACTACAGACACTGTCGGACACGCTGGAGGAAGTGTCCCATCTTGTTTTTTTTATCCCCCTTTTTTTCACCGGAGTAGCATATGCACGGCTGATAAGTTTGCTAAAAATAAATATTGGACATATAATAAATATATAAATATCCAAATATATAACATATATTAAATATATAAAATTATATGTTTTGCATGTGTGTGTTATTTAAATTCAAAGGAAAAACTAAAGAGGGAAAAACACTATAGGAGCAATAAAAAAACATTATAACATCATATTTAATACAACCGTACCTTTCCTGAAAGGTGATGTGTTGGGTTGAGGGGGAACAAATCAAATAACTTCTTTAATGACGATGGCATGATAGTTTGACTTCGTATGGTTGCATCCAATCCTTCACAAGGCAGCATAGACACTTGTAGCTCATGCTGACTGTTATCGATCCCATAAGCAAAGAACCTGACTACAAGGTCTATGCTCTGAAGTATAAATAGCATACAATCAAACGATTGCACATCAAGGTGTCGCATAGTATGAACCAATCGAATAAAATCTTGGAAACAACTAAGTAAAACGGGCATAAGGTCCTCTAGTTTCTTTTTGATGACAGAAAATCCTACAAAGCCAAAGATAGCAGCAGGTAGAACATTAAAATCATTATTATCTCACTTTATCAAAAAATCAAAATCAAAATCATATAAGAAAAATGTAACCCAAAAAGAAAAGTGCAAGGACCATCATGAATTACAGAAAACTTCATGGTGCTGGTCTAGGACCCAGGTAGTCCAAAAAATCATACAGATTCAAACACAGAAACATTAAAATTCAAAGATTAAAATGACCTGAGAAATCTGATGCAAACAGCAGTGGAAGATGCAATGGGGAAAACGTTAAAATTCAAGGTATAATGTCCTTTCACTTACCAGCAGCATGTTTAGGTGTGTCAGGCTCAAAAGCATGTAAAATCCCTTGTGCAGCATCATCCTAATACATAAAAAGATCATTATATACCCAGAGTGTTCTAGGGTTTTTGTGTTTTGGCTCTGATACCAAAAAGAATGAAAATAATTATTTGGCTTACCTATGAATGAGGTAGAGCCTTGTATTTATAATGAAACAATATTACAAAATAGGAAACAAACAAAATAAGAAACGAACAAAATAGGAAACGAAGATAAAAAAGGTATTAAATCTGTGATTGACACAATCACAGATTTTATACATACTACCATAATTACAATATCACTCTTTCCTAATTCCAACACTACCATAATTATAATATCACTATTTCCTAATTCCAACAGCTACTGATGCAAAATACTCTTTCCTAATTTCAACACTACCATAATTATAATATCACTATTTCCTAATTCCAACAGCTACTGATGCAAAATAGTTGACATGCCGGACAGGGGCATAATGATTTACATGCAATTAGCACTACAGTGTCCATTCAAAAAACCATAATAAGAAATTTACTCCAAGTTGTCAAAAGAGGATTATGTCCTAACCAGCCAGGAGTGAAAGATTATAAGGAACTAACAACTCAATTCAAAAGAACTTTTTTAACTATTCGGCCCTGTTTGATTGCTGGATTGGGAGGACAAGAGAGAGAGAGAGAGAGAGGAAAAAAACATAGGGCTCCCAATTGTCCCCTAGTCCATGGTTTGGTTGGCCTTTTGTTGCCTGGGATAAGGCCCCCTGGATTTCTTACTAATTGGGATTGTCTGGATGAGCTTCCAGATTATTTCCCCCTTCACCAAATAGCAAATTATCTGAATTAAGCAGTGAGTTAAGCGCTTAATGCTAATCCCAAGATACAATTATATTTTATAATATCAAAATAGTAAGACATTAAACATTCTATATTATTGGAAAGGAAGTGTGAACAAAAATTCTTAACATCTATTTTAAAAAGGTCATATACACAAATAAATTGGAAGTTTTAAAATTTAGAATACTAAATATCTAACAAAGGAAGGATTATAGGTATACACATTATTTTTATTTTATCATTGGATCCTAAGTTATTTTCTTCATTCATGCAATAGTATCTAACTTATAGTCACGTGTCCCCAAGTTTCTGAAGCATGTCTGGTTCTAAAAATAAAAAATAATGACGACACATTTAGACTTGTGTCCAACACATGTAGAGAGTGTCCAACGGGTGTCCAATGCGGATGACATGTTCTTGGAAGTGTTAGCGTTCTTGGCCCACGCCTCTTTCCACTAATTTGAATCCTCCCTTCCCAGCATTGTCTTCAATCTTCAGATCGAATGTCGCCCACTCAAATTGAAAGAGAACAGTCCCACAGAGAAACACATCGATACTCACAAACCTATTGCAAGAACGAGGAGTGGTCAAAGGGAAGGCTATTTGTCCTACTTTCTAAGCCAGTCCAGTATAGTTCATTTACTAGGAACAAAAACAAGCTACATCTACATTACAACAAAATTGATGCTAGCAAAATATGAAATTCATATGGAAACATCACATTCAAGCTCAGCATCTTAATATCCTAGACTAGAAGTGGTGAGATTCCTCTAAATGTTAATAAACAAGATCAGGCAAAAATATGAAAAATTGACAAAATAAAAGTAGGAAACCAAGGCTAAAAAATGAAAGCTTCAAACAACTTCTTTCAAACAACATTGTGTTACAAATATAAATGAAAATGCACAAATTAAATAGTCCTCTAGGTTGACAGCAAGAAAGTACCTTTTCACATGGTGAATCATGATCTGCCTTACTACTTGGCAACAATAACAAGCAGTGAACTAGCCCTGCAAGAACATTCTTAAGCTTGCCCTTGTCCTGTAAATAGAACTGATTCTTTCGTAATACATCTTCGTAGTTTTGGAAAATCTGTTGATGGCGTATCAAATGAAGAAATCTATTACAAACATGAGCTTCAAATACAAATCAATTGACAAACTAATTGGACCAGTCACAATATTTGAGCAAAATAATAAACAAGAGGGAGGAAGAGGAAAAAGAAAGAAAGAAAGAAACAGAAAGGAAAGGAAAATAAACAAACTAATGGAATCATTACAAACATTACCACCTACAACAGTTGTAATAGCAAGAACAAGTTTCAAAATTAATAAAGGAAAAACCAGTATCTACTTCACCAAATTCACACATAAAGAAACAGCCATAGTATTCTTTTGGGTGAATCAATTAAGCATATGATAAAGAAATATATAGCTCAAGTATTGTTGACTTGAACCTTAAATACTATTTTAATAGAGAAAATCACATAGTTTGGTGTGCCTCAGAGGCAACTACTATCAAGAAATGGAAGAAATAATAAATGCATATGTCAACATCAAGTAATTAATTAACTCACAACTCTAATATTTTACCGAAACAAATAATTTAACTACCTTTTCAGAATATAAGGAAAAGGACGATGGGTAGTACTGAACAACAAGGTCAAAAAATTTGAAAGCCATCAACCGAACATCAATTGCCAAATGTGTCATTGCATTGAAAATATATGCCATCATCAGTGAAATGAAAGGTCCTTGATTGTCCTGCATAAAAAAGGCACAGGATCAGCTACAATGGACAGAGAATCAGCCACTATGGACAATTGAAGAAATCAACAGTAACAATCAAACAATTAGAGGGAATGTCTTCTCAAGATCTGCTCTTGCTAGAGTCAGAAAACCTGCAGATGTAATAAAAGTACGAAACACACAGAAGCTAAAGGGTTGCAAACCGAGTGAAGCAGTTCAAATTTTGACTTTTGGAAGCGGGCACCCATTTCTGAGTTTTTGCTTCACTAATGCATTCTCCCACATTAAATTCAAGCATCAGCCCAGCTAGTGGTGTTTTAACCTTTTCAAAATTTTGTTTAAATTTTTAAACATGAAAAATGGCATATATTTCATAGATTCTCTGGCACTGTGGAATGGCCTGCAAGGAGGGTGCTTTGGTGTTTGGGGGAGGGGTCCAAGAGGGCCCAGTGGACAAAAGTCAGGATTACACACACCAAAATAAGGGGGAGAAAACCTTATAAAACCTAATAGTATACTGACTATAAATTTTGGTGCACAGAACATGACCCATTGATCTCTCTAAATCCAAATAAAAAATCACCATCAAATATGAGCGAAACATCTCACCATGGAGTCCTCCCATAATGTTTTTAATCAGTATATATTCACAACCAAATACAGGACAATAGATATCAAGAACACGTACAAATAGTATAAAAGGTTTCCTTAAAAACAGAACGTTAGACAAGAAAGGGTCTTGGGCCACTTGGATGTGTACTGTATGTATGTTAATGAAATAAATAAATAAAATTCTCTGTTGGCTGTTTTAGACTAAATTAGACACAGAATAAAAACATTATGTATTAACTATTGAACATAGTTTATGAGACCAAGTGCAAGAAGAATTTAGCAAGGAAATACTGAATTGAGGAAATGCCAGACCTGGCATTTACAGCAAAGGAACAAGAATCAAGAATTACCTCTTTACAGGTAGGGAAAATCACTGACTTAAGAAGTTGATATAGTGTTTCCCGAACCAGTTTATCATCATCACTAATGCGTTCACGCAGCTTCTCTATAACGGCAAGTTTATGCAATCTCAACTCTGTTGGGTATTTAAGAAAAATATCCCTAATGCCAATCAAAGCATCTTGGAATAAAAAGAGGAAGTCGTGTTAACAAAATGGCCAATCAATATAAAGAACCTCAAATTTAAAACAAGTCTCTCAAAGGGGCAGTTATAATAGTGAACTACTTCAAGTTCAACTTAACACAGTTAATGACTTAATAAATCACATAATAATACGGCGGATACCTACATGCAAAAATCAAATTAAAGTCATACAAAAGCCATCAGTAACACATTGGACAACATGGTAACGCAAATAACAATGACAATGTAGCAATTTTTATTGCAGACAAATTGCATAATTCACATTATTTAAAAATTATGATAAGTAGTTTTTTCAAGATCATGACAATAATGTTGAACTAAATGAAATTGTAGGGTAGTTATTGTGGTAACTAGAAGCTCTATAGTTTAGATAGGATATCTACTGAATGTAATCTTTCTTGATAATAAAAAAAAGAAAGAAAAATATTTATGTTTTTTTCTTCTCTTTTTTTTTTTGGGGGCTGAGTGAATAACATGCTAGGGGGCAAGGGGACAACCACAGAGCACCAAAAAAGAAGCAAAGCAAGACAAAATGGAAACCATCAAAACAAAAACAAACAAAGCTAGAGGACTGCATCAGCAACATTCAACTTCACAGCCTTCTGACAGCAATGGGAGCCTCTGCACCAGAAAGGGACCGTGAAAAATTGATCCTAGAAGTCCAAGCACCCAAACTCATGCACAGCTTGATTGCTTGTCTAGGCCAATTCTTCTTTGAAGCTAACAGCAGATTAATGTCACCCACCAATAATGGTATCATATCAATAGACCAAAAAGAAAAATATTTCATGTCAAAAAAAGGGATTCTTTTTCAAGCAACCACTTCATGTATAATATCCCATCAAATGAATAGCCTATCAAGAAAATATTTCTTCAACATAATGTAACCAAAATTATATTCTGCCAAGACAATAAGAAATTTCACAGTTTGAAAGAGGCAAGCAAGAATAGCATCTCCAAGGAAGGGGGAAGCATCAAGCTTGTGAGAAACAAATGGTTTCAACTTCCAATCCACAAATAGTATAAATTAATAAATCAAACACAATAAACAAAAAATATAAATGGTTTGGCAATGTGCCTACATCCACGAAGATCAAATCCACTATGCACCATAAGACTACAAAGCTCAAAGCCTCCGGGCCAATGAGGGGGGCCTCCACAGGCCCATTACAATAAATCCGATTGAACAGTAAAAAATACAATGCACCCTATGAAGCACAGGCACGGGCACGGACACGGGACAAGACACGGTGATTTCAAAAAAATTAGGATACAAACAGGGCGGGGGGCATGGCACATTTTTTTTTAATTTATTTTTATATATATTTGCCATGTAGATTAATATTATGTTACCAAATAATCAAAATTAATAAAAACTAACATTAATTCAATATATAAATATATATATATATATATAAACCACTATATTTAAACAAATTAATAAATTATCTATATTTGGACACGCGTGTCCCCGAAGTGTCCCCAGAGTGTACCCAACAAAAAAAGAAAATGTGTGTCCCAACCATGTCCCCGGCGTGTCCCTGTGTCCCTGCCATGTTCTCTGCAAAAAAAATAAAATAAATAATAATAATAATAATAATAATAATAATAATAATAAAAAAATTAATGGGACAAGCCATTTGGCATGTCGCATACGTGTCCCCGGCGTGTCTCCGTGTCGGATACCGCTATGGCTCCTATTTTGAAGTATCCATACTTCATAGAATACACCTCATTACAAAAGGTGAGCTTAAGCATTAATATTCATTTCTATTCATTTGTAGGTCCACAGGTACAAAAATCCAACCACTATTATAGCAAATCCTTTACACTAGTATAGAGTTTTAGATTAATAACAAAATACCTTTTCGGACTTTGGAATTGTGATGAGATGTTTGCTGAAGAAGCTCTTTCAATGTCAAACCTTTTTTGCTCACTGCCAAACCCGCCTTTTCTGATGCTACACTCTGCTCGGGAAGGATAATGGCTGCTCATAATCCACAACATAGCGCTTTCTTTAGGAATGTAATTCTTGTTCTTTTCAACAACATTAATTCAACTCAAACTTGTTGTCATTTCACGTAAACAGAAAAAGAAAAGAAAAGGAAAAAAAAAAAAAAGGGAGTTCAGTTGTTATCTAATATATATATATATACTAGATAATTAAGATTTGCTAAAATTGTTGCATTGTTTATCAATTTTTTTCATTTTTCCTTTCAGACATTTGGAACTTGGGAATATTACTCTATTCCTCTTATTGGTATAGAATCATCTATCATGTAATTGAAAAATATGCCATGCCACTTCAATTCTATCTAGGAAAGTTCTATCATTTGAACGTTGACATTAAACATAAATGACATGAACTTAAACAACACAGGGAGCAAATATATATTCTATCTATGCTATTATCTTCTATATCTATCTATACTATTATTTATGTGAAGGCTAAAGTTGGTGTTGACATCTCATTTTTTGGATTTCACCAAAATACCCCTATATCAGTAGTTACATGGCCGGCAATGCACTAAATTCAGGGTTTTTTTTCTTCTTTTTTTTTTCTACCAAATCTCTCAACTTTTGATTTTTCCAAATTCATTTCAATTCTCATATTTTGAATTCAATCATACAGTTTACAATCTTATTTTTCTGAAACAGAATGATCATATGCACAGTCACTTCTAGTATGTATGTATGTATCTATATATATATATATATAAAGCATTTGAAGTACAAAAAACTTCACCTTTGGATTTGATTTCAGTGTTTGTAGCATTTTTTGGCGGTGGCAATTTCCGACCAATCTTTCGTTTTATTTTCTACGAAATAAAAAATAAAAAATCAATAAATACAGTAAAAAAAATTAAAAATCAATTTTTAAAAATTTTAAAAAAAAAACTCAAAATAAAGAACTTACTTTGAAGTCGACACCGCGCTGTTGCTGCTTCTTTCGGGGAGCCTTAGGCCTCACCATTTTGCACTGTAATTAAAACCCACATGAAAACACAAGCAAACTACATTAGCACTACAAGACTACAACAATATTATAATCTCACCATTCTGTTTGATTGCCAGGAAAATAGTGGAAGGGAAAGAAAATAAAACAGAAAATAATTACAGATAGCGCAGGGCGAGGAAGAAAAGCGGAGAAGAAGAGGAAGCGTTGGCAATTGATTACAGTGCTTGGATGACTTATTTAAACTATTCTTCTTTCCTGTAAGGTTAGGGCTTTTTTGCTGTGATCTAGTAGGCCCATTAGGGTTTTTGGTTCAATCGAGCTGAACTCGGCCATGTTTGGTTTATCCACATGAAACACTTGGGCTTAACCTGCAGTCCTCAAAAGATCCTGAGGCCTATCATGGTTTCGCTCTACTGCTTTTTTTTTTAGCTATGATAAAAAAATTAGTTATGCTTATAACTCATGTTATATTTAGTTATAGTTTTTTTTTTTTTTTTTTTTTTTAACGCTAAAAATTGAAGGCTCTATTTGGTGGAGCTCTCAAACTTTAGTTCTACCATTTAGTTTGAACATGGTGTTTGTTTATAACTTTTAAAAATTAATTTTACACTCATTTTTGAAAACACTGTCGAAGGCGGACAAATTTGGACTAACCGGTTGTCCCCCAGGACATCCAGTCGGTTGATCGGAACAGTACACAAATTTATTTATTTTTAAAAAAAATTGCCACATTTTATTTTTTATGTTTAAAATAAAAAAGTAAGAATTTTTTTTTAAAAAAAATTATGAACTTTGAATAGAATTTTGAGTTGTGTATTCCATTATAAGTTGTAAATTTTTGTATCAAATATCATATGTCACATCAAAAATTTCACACTCAATTCAAAACTCTTTTCAAGACTCATCTACCAAACAAATTTTCCACACTCAAATCATAATTTCAAAACTCGCAAATTCAAAATACAACTCTATTCTCAAATCATATTTAGAAAACTCTACCAAATGCTACCGAAGTTATTCTATTTTTCTTTTTAATTATAAGGTGTATATGGTAAATACCTTTTAAATATACACTATAGTGTTTCCCAATGATGATATGAACCGTTTGTTTTGTATGACATTTTTATACTCTCCCGTCCTGAAATATTAGTCCATTTTGAATAATTTAACTCTTTTTAGTAATACGATTATTGCATTTCAAAAATAACTTTCCAAAACTACCATTTGATAGTAAAATTATTACACTTCAAATAATGTTAATAAATTTAAAAGAAAGACAAAATAGAAAATTCATATTGTTTTAGTCCTTACTTTTTTAAAAAAACTAATACATTGGGACAATGAAAAATTGAACAAGTGACTAATATTTTGGAACGGAAAGAATATATCGTTTATAAAAAATAAAAAAATAAATCAATTTAATAATTTTAACTTATTCATTTTATCAAATTTATTTTTAAAAAAATAAACGACAAGTTTTTTTTTAAATATACTATCTTTTATTTTTTTAAAACATAATAAAATGAAAATATTAAGAGATTTGTCATTAAAAAAAAAATCACTTATATTGTTCTGCTAGCATAATTACTCGTGCTATGCACGAGTATAAATAAATATACAAAAATTAATTTTTAAAATTAAATAATAATCTAAAAAAATTATCTAGAATATTTAGTAAAAATAATTTAGAATCAATTAAATTTTATTCATTTTTATCACAATTACATATAAGATAATTTTTTTTTTATTCTTATATCATTAATTGTGTACTCTAAGTTCTTAATAACAAATACATGTCATAATTTAATTGGTAAAAATTAAAAAATAAATCACAAAAATTATATTTATGATAAAATATAAATACATTTCGTCTTATGTGTTTCGTAAATTTAATTTATCATATGATAGTGGTAAATTACATTTGTCAATATATTAATTTTTTCATATTTTGTTAAGTCTAAAAATTAGTCTAACATCAAAATTAAAATTTATCTTATATTATAAGATTTACATAAAAATTAGAATTCACTTGTGATATTAAATTTATGCTTAATATTAGATTTACGCCAACTTGTACTTCGGCTAATCATTAAAAATTATCTTTGTCTATTCCCAACTTATATGAATTATTTGACCTATCTATTTATTCAATTAGTAAATAGATATTTGTAAGTATTTTTTATAATAATTAAAATTTTGAACTTAGTTTTAAAAAACTATATATTTATGTTTAAAACAATTAAATGAATAGTAATATATATTTATGGATGAAAAAATTATCTAAGACAGATCCACCATAAATTGTAGGTCATATTCTAGTCCTAATAAATTTAAATTTTATCATAGCTTATCAATTCATGACTGATATATCAAATTTGAGATATTTTAATATTGGATTAAATACTAAAAAGTAGCTAAGAAAATTTAACCCTGGTTTGGCTATCATTTTGGGGCTAAAAAAGTACAAAATGACAAAATAAGCTAAATAAGCTAATAAAATAAAATATCACATCCAACCTATAATCATTACACTTTTTATCTCACAAAAGTCAAAATAGCCAAGAAAATCCAAACCAAACGAGGCTAAAAAAGTTAAGCTAAAAAAGTCTCAACACAAAAAAATTGGCTATATTAGCCAATGCTAAACGAAGATTTAGTTCAAGTCATTTTTTGCCAATAATTATTGATTTAAGCCTAGTCCTTAGAGAATTGTCTAGTTCATGTCCACTCCATGAGTTAGTAGCTCCACCTATTTATTTAATTTTTAATTAGTAAATATATTTTTAAAAAATATAACAAAAATAAGAATTATGTACATATTTGTTTGGTATATTTATTAACAATTTTAAAATTAATTAAAAAATTATGTAGTTATTCTTAAAAAAATAAATTACATTGGTAGTTCTTATATTTTAACTCTTGTGTTATTTTTGTCCTTGCAATTTGAATTTGCTCGACTTTGGTTCTAAATTTATAATTTTGTCTCAATTTGATCCAATTGTTATAATTGTTAGTGTTGTTTTCATTGAAAATATACACATGAGTAGCATCTGTTATAATTTTATAAATAAAATTATAAATTTGTTTAACTCAGTAAGTTAATGTCAACTAACTCAATAACTATTTTATTTTAAAAACATTAATTGACATTATCAATTGGACCAAATTGATACAAAATCTAAAATTAATTGTCAAAATCAAGCTAATTAAAATTATAGAGATTAAATTGACATGAGAGACAAAATGCGAGGATTATCGATATAATTTACCCTTCTTAAAATATGTCTAATATTAATTCTATTAATATTAAGATATATTTATATCTGAAAAACTATTTGAAACCAGATCAGGATAGAACTTGAATAAAAAATTTATGGCTTATTAAAAATATTTAATAATTATAAATTTAAATTTGATCAATTTTTCATTTAATTTTTTTTGTAATAGAATTAGGTTGTTTGATAATTATAATTTATAGTTCAAATTTTTCTTTGTATTTTTTTTGAAATATTTTAAAACTATATATAATTATAATTTCTTTTGGAACTTTCTTTTTCAATCTCAAATTAGTTATAACTTGAATTATATATAATTTATTTTTGACTTCTCATCTACAAAAACTAACAATGAACATAAATTATTTTTTGAACATTGTAAAAAATAAATAAATATATATATTATCAATAATAATAATAACGAAACATATTTTTTTATTTATCATGTGACATTTCATTACTACATTGATAATAGACATTAATAATAAAACTCATTACAATAATACAGTAATAATATATCAGATGATAAATAACATGTGATCATAATAATTGTTTATAGTTATATAAGTACCCAAAATGATATACAAAAAATAATATATAATCCATATTCAATTTTTATATAGTAGAATTCATGTTTAATCTCAACCACACATTATTTTTCTAAATCAATTCATCACCCAAACTATTTACTATTCTTTTAAGTAATATTCACTTTTTCAAAACCCATCCAAATAATACTCTGACCGAGCTCATCATCATCCTTTGTTGTTGTCATGTTCACTACTAGGGATGGTAATTTGAACCCGGCTCGACGGGGACCCCCTGACCCCGATTAGAGTGGTTTTTTCCCCAAAAATACCTCCGACGAGCCGGGAATGATATTCGAAAATGAATCACTGATGATTTTCGAGTCGGGGATGGTGATACATTTCTCAGCCGTGTTTCTGGCTCGTCCCAAGCCTCGACCCCCCCCAAAGTAAAATTACGATTATACCTCTGTCTATATATATGTGTGTGTCTCTCTTTTGTTGACTCACTTTAGGGTTTGGTTGACAGACCCTCATACACGGCTGCTGCTCCCTTGCACACGACTTCATGTGAGAAAAATAAAGATGATGGTAGATAGACATTCATATACGGATGTTGCTCCCTCACACACGGCTTCGCATGAGAAAAATAGAGAGGATGGAGAGAGAGAATAAGAGAGAAGAGAGCCGCCATGGACCTCACCTCGCCCTCTTCACAGCGCCGCTTCTCTACCAACTCCTTCGCCGATCTCCTCCGCTTCTATACCGACTCTTTCCATCTTTCTCTATTCCTTTCTCTCACTCTCTTTCTCTATGTGTTTTATATATATACGTATTACAGGTTGCAGCTCAGATCTATGAGATCTACGATCATGATGATCTGTTGTTGCTGATTTTTTTTTTTTTTTGTGATTTGTTGTTGATTTTTTTTTTTTTTTTTTTTTATTGTTGTTTTTTTGTTGATCTGTTGTTGTTGATCTCTGTCTTTTGCCATGTTGATTTGTTTTTTTTTTAATCCTCCGTAAAGCTTCAAAGTAGTTTTCAAAAAAAAAAAGGTCGAGGGTTTTTCGAGGTCAGGGAAACCTGATCCTTGTTAGGGGGCAGAGACGGGAGGTGATGGGTTCCCCGCCGAGATGAGAGGTGGGGACAGGAGCGGGGGCAGGGACGAGAACGAGGAATTTTGTATCTTCGGGGATCGGGGACGTGAAGTGTAATCCCCGGCCCCGGCCCCGGCCCGACCCATTGCCATTCCTACTCACCACCTCAACTAATCACTATACAACTCTGGTATAGTTTTTTATATTTGCAAATTTAGAAAAACAATGTTGGGGAAATGAAAAGGTAC